CTTTAAAATTATGCAGCGTTGCCTTTCACCACCTTCAAAAACTATCCAGCAATTAGATTTTTGAATATTCTTCTGTTACTTTTCTCTCTCCTCTTCTTTGGGGATTTCTGTCATATATATATTAAATCTTTTTGAGTGTGATCTTCATGTCTTTTATACTACCTGCTTTTATTTTACTTCTCTTCTCCTTCTGCTACAGTTTGAATATTTTTGATCGAGCCATCTTCCAATTCACTTATCATAGCTTAAAATATGTATATTCTGTATTTTGTATATTATATTTTTCAATTTTAAAATGTCCATTTAATTGTTTCTATATGTCCAATTATATGGTGATATTCTCCATCTTGTCATTTATATTTTCTGTCACTTATCCTATTTTCTTAAAATTATTAATAACACTTAAAGTTCTTGTATCTTATCTCTAATATTTGGCTTATCTGTGGGTCTACTTCCACTGCCTGCTTTTCCTCATCCTTATTGGTCACATATTCTTGGTAATCACTTTTCTAGTATTTTTCTTTACCCTGCAAGGTATTTATAAAATATTTCATAGGATTCAGATGATGATCTTTTCACCAACTGGGTTCCCCATTTTCTGTTTGGCATAGAGGATAAAGGAGTGATTATTTCAATCCAAGCAGAGATTGAAGTGGATTGGTATTGTTTTTGCAGTTTTAATAAAACTCAATTTATATGTTTTTTTTTAATCTGTTTCTAGGTCATGTCCCTGTTGAGAGTTTTACTATGAGGCAGGTGGTCTCATGGTTTTCAGCCCTAAACAACCACAATCTAGAACTTTCCATCTTAGGTTCCAACCTGGTTTTTTCCATCCCCAACTATAAATGGCTTTAGAAAGTATCTGGCTATGGATATAAGCCTATACATGAAGGAAGATTTTTCTTGCCCTGCAACAGATTTTTCTGTGTGTTTGTTTCACAAACACTATGAGATTTCAGGAAAATATCATACAACAACATCACTCTATCTTTTAAAACCTTTTGGTGTAGCTCCACTGCATCTCATGCAGATATGGTATTCAGTGTTGGGTAAAAACTGCTATATGTTTGAAGTCTCTCACGTTTGTAATTTGCACTAAAAGTTTGAGACTTTTTTTAAAAATTTTTTTTTAAAATCTCATAGAGAGGTCCTCTGCCCAAGCCAAGACCATGTCCAGAACTAAAAAATTTTCTGAGAAACATCATGGCTGATTTTTTTATCACACACGGCAAAAGTTCTTGCCACTATGAAATTTAATCATTCCTCCTACAGCTCTCTCTGCTGCTAAAAGAGTGAGGGCCATCTACTATGTCTTAGTTGGAAGTGGAGAAATCATCAAGGATCTTTAAAGAGAGAGGAAGAGAATGTAGGACTCAGTTGAGAAACTTCTTTTATGACATTTTTTTATGATGACCTTTTAGAGATACTGGTTTATCTTTTATGATTAATTATAAAATAATTTAATAAGTCAATCACAGAAGGACAAATATTGTGTTAGTCCATTATTGTAAAAAGTCAAGGAAAGGTTTATATATGAAAGGTAATTTTCTTTGTTGGTTACCAGAGGTGGGAGGGGAGAGGAGGGAACATGGCTAAATAGGTAGAGACAAGTATTGATTTGAGTAAAGGAAAGGTCAATGTACCAAATGTGAGTGATCAACATGGTGGCACTGAGGAAGAGGGAGACATAGAGAGGTGCATGGGAGGTACAGATAACAAAGATGAACCCTTTTGCACATACAGTATTGCACTGTCAGTGATGGCAAACATTGATCTATGAGTGGATAGATGGGTGGACAGGCGGAACGATTGGGTATGTCTATGCAGAGGGGAGTGAATAGTATAGGGTTGCCAGACAATGTTTCTACAGGTGTATTTGTATGTTCTGTAAGAATTCCAAGGTACCTAGTAGAGCTGACAAGGGACAAGGATATAGTCACTTCTTGGCCACAGCCAGCTCCCTAGAGGGAGTGAGTAGTTGGATCTGTGGGCTTAGGACCATGGTCACAAGGAACATCAAGCTCAATTGGCATAACGTACTATGCACAAACACTGTTCCACATCATACTTTGATGAGTAGTGACTCGGATCTTAAAAACTTGCAAGGGGCATCTAGATGAACAATGGGTCTCTCCTCATCAAGAGCAAAGAAGAATGAAGAAAACCAAAGATGTATGGAAAGAATTAGTCCAAGTGACTGGTACACCCCGCAATACTCAGCATATATGATGAAGAGACCAGAATAACTAGATGGTGTCTGGCTACCACTGTCAACCACTTGGAAGGAGATCTATGTAGGAGATCCTTGACAGACTGGGAGAACAATGTGGAACAAAACTCAAAATCATAAACAAACAAACAAACAAACAAACAAAAACAAACAAAGGACCAGGTTTGGTGGTCTGATAGAGCCTGCTGAAACTCCTGAGACTATGCTCTTCAGGTCTGAAATCAAACTCACTCCCTTGGCCTCTAGCCAAACAAAAGACAGGCATATGAGCTGAACATTTGTATTAGTAGATACACTCCTTGGAGAAATCAATCATAGGAGAATAGAAGGGCTGTGTATGCACAGGGAGACAGCTTGTGGGGCAGGAGTGCATGGGAGGGAAGGACACAGGGCAGAAGTAACTATGGGGAGGAAATGGGAAGAGAGCTGTTGCACTGTGGGAAATTGCAGTCAATGTCATGAGACAAAGTATATTTGAATTGCTGTATGGAAAATGAATTTGCTCTGAAAACTTTCACCCTAATTACCATAAAATTTTAAAAAATATATAAAGTGATTTAAACAAAAGAATAGTTCAACAAATATGTATATATAATGAAAAATATGAAGGTCATAGATCAATTACTAAAGTTGGGTCTACTTATCTAGAGAATATTCAGTGAAGGCATGTATTACTTATACAGCAACTTGGCAACACAGATTAACTCTTCTATTTTTGTTTTTTGTCATCTTGTCACTAAAGTTTTCTAGTAAAACCAGCCTATTCATTTTCTCAGATTCTAATGGAATTCATTAGTCATGGTATTTAGTTGATTCAATGACAAGCAATCATGACCAAAAAAATACATTTAAAATAAAGATGAAAAGAATATTTGTACTTTTGGCCTGTTGAGTCAAAGGATGATTTCTTTAACTAATCTAACACTTTCTCAGTGAAGAAATTGTAGTTCACAACATATACTTTCTCCCTATAGACCCATCTCAGAATAATATTGTCCTAAGGAAACTACAGATTCAGCTATGGGGACTGTTATTTCCTTAAAAAAAAAAAAAAAATGCCATTGATTCAATTTCGACTCTTCTTGTTGTTAGGTACCATTGAGTCATCTTCGACTCATAGTGACCCTATGCACAGCAGAACAAAACACCACCCTGTCCTGCACCAGCTCCATGATTGGAGCCCATCACCACAGCTACTGTGTCAATCCATCTCGTTGTGGGCCTTCCTCTCTTTCATTGACTCTCCACCTTACCAACCATGAGAATATCCTTCTCCTGGGAATGGTCCCTTCTGCTAACACGACCCAAGTAGGAGAGATGAAGTCAGGCCATTCTCACTTCCAAGGAGCATTCTGGCTGCATTTCCTTCAGGACAGATTTGTTAGTTCTTTTGGCAGTCCATGGTACTTTTAGCATTCTTCACCAGCACCATAAATCAAAAGCATCAATTCTTCTTCAGTCTTCTTTATTCGTTGTCCAGCTCTCACATGCATATGAAGTGATTGAAAAATAGCATGGCTTGTGTCAGGTGCACCTTAGTTCTCAAGGAGATATCTTTGGTCTTCAGCACTTGAAAGAGGTCCTTTGCAGCTGACTTGCCCAGTGCTATACATCATCTGATGTCCTGACTCCTGCTTCCATTGGCCTCGATTGTAGAACCAAACAACGTGAAATCTTTGACAACTTCAGTCTTTTCTTTCTTTATCATGGTGCTGGTTATAGGTCCAGTTGTGAGGATTTTTGTTTTTAAAAATATAATTATCTAAGTCTTTTCTTAATTGAGATGTAATACATACTACAGACTGTATTCTTCAAACTTCATTAGTAAGTGCTTCAAGTCATCCTCACTTTCAGCAAGCAAAGTTGTGTTGTCAGCATATCACAGGTTGTTAATGATTCTTCCTCCAATCTTGGTGCAACATTCTTCTTCATATAGCCCAGGTTCTTGGATTATTTGCTCAGCGTGCAGACTGAATAAGTATGGGGGAAAGGATGCAACCCTGACACACTCCCTTTTCTTGACTTTAAACCATGTAGTTCCCCCTTGTTCTGTTCGAAAGAAAGCCTCCTGGTCTATGTATAAGTTCCTCATGAGTACAATTAAGTGTTCTGGAATTCCCATTCTTAATATTATCCACAGTTTGTTTTGATCCACGTAATCAAATGCTATTGCATAATCAATAAAACAGGTAAATATTTTTCTGGTATTCTTTGCTTTGAGCCAAGCCATCTGACATCAGCAATATCCCTTGTTCCACATCCTCTTCGACTCATAGGAACTATATATATGACAGATGGGAACTGCCCCATAGAATTTCTCAGCTCTACAGCTTTATGAAAGCACACTGACTCATCTTTTTTCCTGCAGAGCTGTTGTTAGGTTTAAATTGTTAATCTTTTGGTTAGCAGCTTGGTGCATGAGGTCTCCTTTGTTTTCTTTTAAAAATATAATTTTCTAAGTTTTTTCTTAATTGAGTGCTGTAACTTAATGCAATCAAATGAAAAACCATAAAAAATTAAGACTTTTGACTCTTGCTTTCTTTAAGATACTTAACTTTTGGGTAGATCTATAGGTAGACCCTTATAAATTACAGATTAACATAACAAAATTATAATTATAATTAACATAAGATAATTATAGAAAGAACAAATTATTCTACAAAACAAATGAACTATATTTTGTTAAAAAATCTACTATTGCTTAATTATTTCTGGTAACATACATTTAAATTATCTTAATTATTAAATTTTATAAGAACCATAATAATACCTTTGATTGATGAAACTTTAAAGTAACATCTTGGAACTTTGCTGGAATATATTTTCTTCCAAACAGATTTGCCAATACTAACATTAGCTTTTCCATAACATCTTGAGAAAAATGTTTTGAGCCTACGCAAAACAAAGTGTCTTGTGAATACGAAAGTGTGAGGATCCACTTTACATATTTAAATCATGTGCTATATTACATTTCATTTATTAAAAACTAATTTTATAACTAATACAGCAGCTGAGGAATGACTATATCTAGTGGCAGTTTTATTTCTCTTTCCCTGAAGTCCGTCCAAGTGTATTATCAATATTCCTAAAGCATTTCATGACCATGTCTCTCCACAACCAAAAAGATCTCTAACAGTATCTTAATGCTTAATAAACAAAATCCAATTTTCTCAGCTTATCATTTTTAACTTTCCAAGATTCAAGCTACAAAGAACCTCCCAACCTTATCTACCTCCTTACATTCCTGCCATTCATATTATGATCAATTCTCTATTCTTCACAACATAGAGGCACTTACCTTAGTGGTTATAAAGTTGCCATGTCTAACACCTTTAATTCTTTGTTATAGCAGTGAAAATATTTCCCCCAGTGTGTCATTTACCTTTCAAACTGTTCATTATTGTTCTTTATAAAAATAATTTTACACTTTCATGAATCCTGGGTTTTATGTTTTACTCAGAAAGACATTTCACCACTTAAAAATTATTATCATTTTTTAAAATAATATTCTATCCTTATTTTTATTATTTTATTATTTTTTGCAGTGAAACCTTTATTCTATTTGTAATTTATTTTGACAAAGAACAGGGCTGATATCTATTTTTATTATTTCCCCACAAACAGCTTGTCTGCAGTACCAATACCATTTATAGAACTATTTTTGATTGCATGATATCAAAAGCCACCTCTACCATGTTTTAAATTTATATACATATTTGTATCTATTCCTAGATGCTCTATTGTGTTCCGATTATTTGCCATTTTTAAGTATTTAGTCTTATAATAGGAGCTCTGGTAGAGTAGTGCTTAAGGCACTTGACTGCTGACCAGAAGCCTGGGGGTTCAAACCCACTAGCCACTCCTCGGAAGGAAGGTTGGGCAATCTACTTCCCTAGTGATACTGCCTCAGAAACCCAAGGAGGTGTCCCTATGAGTCAGGTCCGATTTTACAGCACATAACAACAACAACAACAACAACTATTGAGTTTCCTCATTTACAAGATGGTGATAGTCATGTTATCTACCTCATAAAATTATCATATTTTCTATCCTTATGCTTAACACACATACACATACTTTCTCTCCTCTAATACACACACCTTCATTCCTTGTTGCTTGGGATTATTTCTTCTCTAATGGTATAATTTCCTGAGTAACTTTGTTTCTCTGAACAATACATGCTCAAAGCATAATGACTAGACCTATTTCACAAAGTAGAGTATTCCTATCTGTTGTGATAAAAGTAATGTTGTAAAAGGCACTTAAATCACCAGGCAGAAAGAACAATTTTAAGCATAAAATTTACAAAATGGAAACAATTCTTTAAAGGAAAATAAAAGTCAAAATAAGTAAGGGATTTGTTGTTAAAGAAAAGCTTTTAAAAATAACTATGTTAAATGGAATATTAAGTGGGAATTACAGATGAAACTTATTTTAAAATGTACACTAAATGGACAAAACTTATGACATAATTAGGGAAAAACAAGATTCTAGAGTATACAACTATTATATCAACTATTTAAATATATATTGTTGCTGTTGTTGTTGTTATGTGCCGTTGAGTTGGACTCAACTCATAGACCCCATCTTGGGTTTCCAAGGCGGTAGCACTACAGAAGTAGATTATACTATTACAATTAAAGAAAATATGGTTAGAAGAAAATATTCACAAAAGTTAATAGTGATTATGTATGGATAGTGAAATAATGGGTAATTTTTATTTCTAACATATAGCTTTTCTAAATTTACATATTTAAATTTTTTTCTGTGATGAACATATATTTTTAATGAGAAGTGATTATTTTAAAAATCACCAAAAAAGAAAGAAACAAACAAACTCACTGCTGTCTAGTTGATTCTAATTCATAGCAACCCCTCCTTGGGTTTTTGAGGCAGTATCTCTACGGAAGTAGATTGCCCAGTCTTCCTTCCGAGGAGTGGCTGGTGGGTTTGAACCACCAACCTTCTGGTTAGCAGTCAACTGCCTTAAAAATCACAGATCATTTAATACGTTCTGACACCTGGGGGCAATGAATCGAACTTAAGTACTGCATGATTCATGTTTTTTCTTTCTATTTTTAGTAAATATACCTGAAACTTCCAAATTCTCTGGTGAAGTTGACATTTTTAAATAGATATCGCTAAATATGGCTGTATCCCATATAATCTATATTAGTAGGTATGTAGCTTTATTTTCAGTGTCTATTTTGCAATATGTAAATTATCTGAATATTAATTTGTATTTTCTTTGTAAAAAAAAAGTTCCCCAAGTGTAAGTTTTTTGCATATCTGTTGTTATTTTCAGACTACATACACATAGCCTTCAAGCTTACCTTTACTGGTTGGCTGACAGAGATTATGGAAAAGGCCTCTCACAAAAAAACTGACAAAAACAAGATTAGAAGGCTCATGATAAAACAAATGCGATACAAGTCCAGCAAACCCCATCGGATTACATTCTTGATCTAAGTAGCCCTAAAGAATAAAAATAATCAGTTTGACTCAACTCACCATGTACATAAATCAGTAGTAAATTATTATGATCAGTTTAAAATAGTTTAAATCAGTTTAAAATCAATATAAAAGATGCTGATAAATAGCACTAGGCCCAGCTTTGATAATAACATCAATTATTGTTGTTAATTCCCATGGAATCAGCCCTCAACTCATGGTGACCCCCTAATTAAAATATGACTGGCCGACTAATCCATAGGATTTTCATTGGCTGATTTTTCAGAAGTCAATTGCTAGGACTTTCTTCCTTATCTGGAAGCTCCACTGAACCTGTACAACATGACAGCAACATGCAAGCCTCCACTGAGAGATGAATTGTGACTGTGCTTTACATGCACTGGCCAGGAATCAAAACGCCTTGCATGGAAGGCAAGAATTCTACCACTGAACCACATTAGTAATATTAATTACTACACATATCTTTCTAAAGACTACTTCCAGCAGTTCACCATGGTCAGAAATCTAGGTATAGCAATAGTATTTCACAAAAAGATGAAGCACAATCATACCTGTTTCACCAGGAACTGCAAAGAAAACATGAAGTAAAGTTTTAACATCTCCATGACTCTAGGTTGCTTGAAGGATAGCAATGAATGCTTTAGCACTGACAGCACCTTTAAAGAAGAGTACTTTCATTTATCAAAGTATTATGAAACATATTTATAAGTGGTATAGTTTTTTTCCATATATATTATACTACACAGATAATAAGTAACATCAATATATAAGATTCAATTAGATTTTATATTATGTTTTATCATGATCTTACATGACACATCCTTCTTTAAACAAAAAAGAACACATAAAACAGAACTGCAAGAAATGGATTAGTCTGGGACCAAATAATCTGGTCATTCTTTGAAATAGCAGTGACTGAAAATGACCTGGAAGAGGAAAGCATGAAAGTCAATCCAGTTTAAGAGCTTATAGCTCTTAAATTATTCTGGGCAAAAGTAACTTATATTGTTCCATGTCTTTACCTATTGGTGTAAAAATAATGAAACTAGGTGGATTTAAATTAAGGTAACAAAACATTTCCTGGTTTCCAGTGTAAATAGTATCATAGAAGGAATTCAAGTCTCTGTCAACTTCCCACTAAAATGTCTATGAAGTTCCAATAAAAGGAAAAATTCCAAACACCACCAAAACTTAAGCCTAATTACTTTAAGTTTGACAGTGTATGGAATCTAGGATGAATTTACACTCACTGTAAGACATATGGACTTGGAAGGAAGGAAGGAAGGAAGCAGGTGTAATATCCATCTCGTTTACTGTGGAATGTTATTTTTTGAGGGAACCAAAATTACTTTTTCTATTATGTCTCCTCAATCTTACTTGACACTTAATTACTGACTGCAGAAGACTATAGAGACTGCCAGAAAACAGCAGGGCAGTAAGTAGGTTGAGAGACTTCAAGGTGGTTCACTGTAAATTTAGAGGTGCAAACCCTATATAATTAAGTCTTGAAAAAATCCTGAAAGAAATGCATACTGGAGTTTGTAGTAATTAATGGCACCCATATGATCAGTGTGTCAGTGAGACTGGCAGTAGAAGTAGAAGATGACCTTTCAGTCCAGAAAGACAACATAAGATGAAAATCCGTAAGTACTGAGATTTTAGCTAGAAACTGTGCACACCAATCTGAATTCAGCTTCAACTTTGAAAAGGTATTTGAAAAGCATTTGGGTGAAAAGAGAATAAAGTCAGAAGAAATCCATATACCCTATTACTTTGTAAATCATCAGATTTGGATAGATATACGTTCATCCAAAAGTGAGAAAACAGCCCAGAGTATATTGTTTATGGTACAATTGTTCATAAGAAAATGTGTTATCTTCCTAAATATTTTGTTATTCAATAAATATTTTTGCATGCCTAGGATGTTTCAGAGGAGTTACTGGGTAGAGCACAGGGTTAAATGCTCTACTACTACCCGAAAAGTTGGAGGTTCAAACCCACCCAGTGGTACCTCAGGAGACAGGGCTAGTGATCTGCTTCCAAAAGATCACAGCCTTGAAGCCCCGATGGAGCAGTTGGAGTCTGCACACCTGGGTTGCCATGAGTCAGAATGGACTCAACAGCAACTGACAACAACTATATTCCATGTTCTATTCTGGGAGACTGTTGATAGACCAGGGAATAAGGAAAGCATCACTGGCTCTAGGGTGCTTACATTCTAACTGGAAATAGAAAATAAATAATAGATAAGATAGATAGATTTGATGACAAGAAGTGATAGTGTGATTTGTATAAATGAGTAAGGAATATTGTCAGTGTAGCACACAAGGGATTCACTTACGATTTGGAAGGGGTGGTCAGAATAGCCTGACTGACAGTAACGTTGGAACAAACGTTTGAAGGAGGTGAGAGAGTGAGGCCATGCATATGTCTGGGAGAGGAGCTTACAGGCAGAGGAAATAGCAAGAGCAATAATCCTCAGACTGGAATATCCCTGGGTTATTCATGAAGCATTTAGTGGGTCCATGTGGGATAGCAAAAGAAGATGAGATCAACAAAATAATTGAGACCAGATTCTGTTAAGTCTCAAAGAACATGACAAGACTTTTCCTCTTAAAAAAAGATGTAGCCTATGAGAATTGTTTTCTATGTGAAGCAAAACCTTGTTTTGAAAATTTATTTGGCATTTTCATACCAAAAGTAAAGCCTCTCTGAAACAAGGCATACCAGCATGAAGTATATGGACAATATAAGTTATGTAACTATATCAATGTTAAAAAGCCAAATGCACATCTATGCCTAAGGAAATGACTGAAAAAACACCAAAATGATAATATGATTGTCTTTGGGTAGCGGAACTTCATATGAGTACTTTATTTTCTTCTTTCAGCTCCCTGCATTTCCTATATATTTTTAAAATAAACTTGTGTTATTTTATGTAAAAATAAACCTTTTTTATTAGAACCATAATGGTAAATCTTTTATTTTAATTTCTATAATATAGGACAGGGATTGGATAAAGGAAATTAATCTGCCTTTTCCAGTTATATGTTAATTATTCTAAAATAACAAAAACTGGTATATTAACCAGATTTCAAATGCAAACAAATCTGTGTTACCACAATGTATAGCCACAAAGTCTTAAATGTAGTTCTATTCTCTAGTCCTAAGTCTCCAGGTAAAACCAAAGCATAAGGGAAAAAAAAAAATTAGAAATCTGTGAGCTCACTTTATTCCTGCCTTTAAAAAAACTTTAAAAAATGTTCTTCTGAAATAACAATGCAAATGTGAAAGTTAAGGCTAATATTCTGGTAACTCACAATTATTTACTGACTTTGAACCAAGTATGAACATATGGTCTTTATATGCATTTATTTCTTTAGTTATCATTAAAATCTACAGGTGATCTTTCCCAGTTTATTGCTGAGAGTACTGAGGTTTAATAAATTTAAGGTCACCAAACCAGTGAATGGTTGAAACTGAAATCTAACCCAGATCTTTTTAAATCCACAGTCGTGACCTTAACTACTACAGGATAAAGCCTACCACACATGAAAATAGTAATGTTAGGTGATTCCGAACGCCCATCCAGGCACAAATTATATGTCTGACAATAAGACAAACTAATTATCATTCTCACCACCTTCCAATCATACACTATTGAGGAAATTATAAAGTGTGAAAGGGCTGGTGAAATGAAGCAGCTTGCCTATGTCCAGACAGTGACAAAAACGGAACCTCCCACAGTGTTAACTGGGCACCTTTGCTTGGGCGTCCTCTGGGTCATCCCCTCTGGAGGCCAGCAGCATAAGTCTCAGGATCAGCGTTATGCTGACAGGGAACTGCCCTCTCAGCTCAGGAACATTGGATTTTATGAGTTTTTCTATTTTGGGCCTTGGAATATCAAAGAAATACACATCTCCTAGCAAGTCTTGACCTCGTCTTCCAGCACGTCCAGACATCTGGAAAGAGAACAATACACCAATGTAAAGCTTTTCTATTTGCCTATTACAGTATAAGAAATGAGCCTTTTTTTTTTCTTTTATTGTGACTTGGGTGAAAGTTTACAGAGCAAATTCACTTCCATACAGCTGTTCATATATACTTTGTCTCATGACATTGACTACAATTTACCACAATGCAACAGCTCCCCTCCCACTTCTTGCCCACAGGTACCTCTTTCCTGTGTCCTTCCCTGCATGCTCTCCTGCCCCCTGAACTATGTTCCGGTGCATACACAGCCCTTCTATTCTCCCATGATTGTTCTCTCCAAGGAGTATATCTACCTAGTGTAAATGTTCACATCATATACCTGTCTTTTGTTTGGCTGGAAGCCACAGGTGTGGGTTCAATTCCAGACCTGAAGGGCTGCTAGGGGCCACCGTTTCAGGGGTTTCACCCAGGCCCTATCAGACCAGCAAATCAGGTCCCTCTTTTTTTTTTTTTTTTTCTCAAATGATTTTGAGTTTTCTTCCACATTGTTCTTCCACTCTATCCAGTGTCTCCTACATAGATCCCCTTCTGATAGGTTGACAATGGTAGCTGGGCACCATCTAGTTCTTCTGGTCTCATAGTTTTATAGGCTGAGGATGGCATGGTGTACCAGTAGCTTGGACTAATTGTTTCCATGAATCTTTGGCTTTCTTCATTCTTCCTTGCTCTGGACGAGGAGGGACCCATTGTTGCATCTAGATGGCTGCTTGCAAGCTTTTAAGATCCCAGTTGCTACTCACCAAAGTAGGAGGTGGAGTGATGTTTTGTGTAGTGTGCTATGCCAATTAAGCTTGATGTCCCCTGCAACTATGGTCCCAAGCCCACAGATTCAACTACTTGGTCCGTCTGGGTAGCTGGCTGTGCCCAAGAAGTGACTACAACCTTGTCCCTTGTCAGCTTTACTATACACTTGGGAATTCTTACAGAACATCCAGAACACTAGTAGAAACATTGTCTGCCATCCCTCTGTATGGTCTTGGGCACATGCCCCCTGCATAGACATACTTAATAGTTCAGCCTATCCACGCATCTCTCCACTCATATAGCCATGTTTGCCTTCAATGACAATGCAGTACTGTATGTGCAAAAGGGTTCATCTTTGTTGTCTGTACCTTCCATGTACCCCTTTATGCCTTCCTCTTCCTCAATGACACCATATTGATCACACACATTTGGTATATTGCCCTTCTCTTCACCCAAATAAATACTTGTCAAGAAATGAGCCTTTTATGATGGGTGGAAATAAGTAAGTTATACACATGTGGAAGCATTAACTGAAACTAATATCCAATTATGTAGCACTCAGAAAACTTACTGTGGCTGATAACAGAGCTGAAAGTGATGTATCTATCCATCATAACACGTAGTTAGTTAATGCCAGTAAATCTACCAGGCATTTATGATACATACAATAAACAAACAATCAACCAACCACAGTAACAAAACTAGACCCTGACTTCAAGGAGCTCACAGCTGAACTCTATTACAATCCATTTTCTCTTCCCTTCTCCCCTATCCCTTGTTTCCTCCTTTTTCTCTCTTTCTCATATAAAAATAAATGTGTCCAGTTACAAATCACAAAATAAAAACTGTACCTAATCCCCTGGAGCACCAACCAGGGAAATGAGTGGGATACAAAAGTCAGGAAGGAAACTTGTTTAAAGCAAGCAAGAGAAAAAAAAAAAGTAACCCTATCTTTTTAGAGAAGCTATATTAGCTCTCATTTATTAAGTGCTTAGAATATGCTACATCTTTTATACATATACGTTTTGATGCAGACATCACGACAATCAAATGAAGAATAAATAATCATTATCTCCATTGTGATTGCAAATATGGGCCAGGTACAACAAACTCTGCAAGGGTGGCACAGGGCTGGGCAGTGTTTCATTCTGTTATAAACAGGGTCAAAAGGAGCCAGAATCAACTCAACGGCACCTAAAAAATAATCATCACTGCACATTGAGGGAACAGGTGCATAGAGCATATAAGAAAATTATCCACAGTCAACCAATCAGGAAGTGGAAGGCCAGGATTTAAACCCTGGCATTTTGATTGCCAAGGGCATCATTCCAAATCATACCACCATAGCTCAAGAATCCCAAAAATATTACATTGGGTAGGGGGAAAAAAAAATCAACTATATATATAAAATGGAGTATAAGAAGATTAGTCTTTAGAGAGGTAGGGAGAAGGATCTCTTGGATAAAAGTCTGAAACATACATAAAATTTTCCTGAGCAAGGGTAGTGCATAAAAGAAAAAGACACTGCCAGCTACCTGTAGGATAGATTAGAACAAGGTGAAAAGAAATCAGGAAAATGATTTTAATAATACAATATTGTTGTCAGGTGCTGTCAAGTAGGTTTCGACTCACAGAGAGCCTATGTATAACAAAAAGAAACATGGCCTGGTCTTACACCATCCTCACTGTCATAGCTATGTTTGAGCCCATGGTTCCAGCCAATGTATCAGCTCATCTCATCGAAAGTCTTCCTCTTTTGCACTGACCCTTGAGTTTACTAAGCATGTTGTCCTTCTCCAGGAAAATGTTCCACCGGATAACATGTCCAAAATAGGTGAGACAATCTCATGATACTCATTTCTAAGGAGCAATCTGGCTATAAATCTTCCAAGACAGATTTGTTCATTCTTCTAGCAGTTCACAGTATATTCAATATTCTTCGACAAGAATACAATTCAAACACATTAATTCTCTTTGGTTTTCCTTATTCATTGTCCACCTTTCACATGGATATTAGGTGACTGAAAATAGCATAGCATGGGTTTTGCAAATCTTAGTCTGCAATGTGACATCTTTGTTCTTTAAAATTTTAAAGAGGTCTTTTACAGTAGATTTGCCCAGTGAAATATGTTGCCTGATTTCTTGACTGTTGCTTCCACAGACATTGATTGTGGATCTAAGAGAAACTGAAACTTTGAAAAATTTGTTCTTTTCATTATTTATCATGATGTTCCTTATTGGTCCACTTGTGAGGATTTTGGTTTTCTTTATGTTCAGGTGTAATCTGTACTGAAGGCTGTAGTCTTTGATTCCCATCAGTAAGTACTTCAAGTCTTCTTTGCTTTCAGCTAGCAAGGTCACAGATTCTTAATGAGTTTTTATCAAACCCTGATACTTTGTCCTTCTTCATGTAGTCCAGCTTCTCAGATTATTTGCTTAGCATGCCAATTAAGTATGGAGAAAGGATACAACACTCACACATGCATTTCCTGATTTTAAACAATGCATTATCCCCTTGCTTTGTCTGGAGGACTACCCCTTGGTCTATGTGTAGGTTTCCCATGAGCACAATTAAGTGTTTTGGAATTTCCATTCTACTTAATGTTATCCATAGTTTGTTATGATCCACATGGTAAAATGTCCTTGAACAGTCAATAAAACACAGGTAAACATCTTTCTGGTATTCTCAATGTGGTGGTTAAGTTTGTGTATCAACTTGGTTGGGCCTGTTTGAGTGGCTGGACAGCTAGTGGTAGTTCTTCCCCATGATGAGACTGGAAATCATCTCAATGGTGGGATCTACCACAAGCAGCTGAGTAGCTGCTTTAGGAATGTGGTCTGCTTCGCATATATAAGAAGCAGCTTTGAGAATGGTCTCTAGCTTACGGGACTCTTGAAACCTGCATATAGCTGTGTCATTGTTCAGCAGCCTGCCATGCTCTGCCAACCTTGGGACTTTTTAGACTTGAATTAATGGCCTGCCATGTGGTTTGGTAACATCAGGACTGTGCCTTTTTATTTGTCAACCTTAGGCTTGTCAGTCTCAGCAGCCAGCAACTGTCTGAGTGAAGAAAAGCCTCTAGCTCCAGTGGGCTGGGAGCAGAAGGCAGAGCTGCAAGCCCAAGGTTGAGGGGCTTTCACCCAGCCCCTAGAGCCTGGCACTTTGAACTTGGACTTAAAGTCTCCAGACTGTAAGAGAATAAACTCCCGTTTGTTCAAGCATCTCATTTGTGGTATTTTCTGTTAGAGCAGCACAGAGGTAACCAGAGCACTTGGCTTTCAGTCAAGATTCATCTAACATCCGCAATGATATCCCTTGTTCCTCATCCTATTCTGATTTTGGGTTGGATTTCTGGGAGTTCCTGTCAATACACTGCTGCAAATATTTTTGAATTATCTTCAGCAAAATTTTACTTAAGTGTGATATTAATGATATTGTTTGATAATTTCCACATTCTATTGGATCATCTTTCTTTGGAATGGGCACAAATATTGATTTCTTCCAGTCAGTAGGCCAGGTAGTTGTTTTCCAAATTTCTTGGCATAAACGAGTACCACCTCCAGTGCTGCATCAATGTGTTAAACATCTCAGTGGTTATTCTGTCAATTCCTGGAGCCTTATTTTTCACCAATTCAGGGCAGCTCAGATTTCTTCCTTCAATATTGGTTCTTGATAATATGTTACCTCCTGAAATAGATGAACGTCGATCAATTCCTTCTGGTACAGTGCCTCTGTGTATTCTTTCAATCTTCTTTTGGTGCTTTTAGCATCATTCAATATTTTGCCCATGTTGTGTTGTTGTTAGGTGCAATTGAGATGGCTCTGACTCCTAGGGCCCCTGTATTCAACAGAACAAAACACTGCCCAGGCCTGCCCTAGCCTCACAATCCTTGCTATACTTGAGCCCATAGTTACAGTCACTGTGTCAATCAATCTCCTCAAGGGCCTTCCTCTTTTTCACTGACCCTCCACTTTACCAAGCATAGTATCCTTCTCCAGTGAGTGGTCCCTTCTGACAACATGACCAAAGTAGGTGAGATGAAGTCTGGCCACTCTTGCTTCCAAGGAACATTCCAGCTATACTTTTTTAAGGACAGATTTGTTTGTTCTTCTGGAAGTCCATGGTATTTTCAGTAATTTTTGCCAACACAACTCAAAAGCATCAACTCTTCTTTGGTCTTCCTTATTCATTGTCTAGCTTTCACATACATATGAAGCAACTGA